CACGCTCAGAGCTGCCGTGCGAAGGCTGGCTCCAGGGAACACCTTTCCCCTGGCACACGCTCCGGCACTCTCCCAGCCCTGGCAGCCAGAGCCAGGCTGTGGATCAAAGGCGCTCACAGCCTTATTCATACAACGTTTCTACTGTGAGTTCAGTTCTTTCCCACAACCCCATGTCAGACTGTTTGAATATAGAGCAGACTGTCAGAGTAGTTAGAAATCCCCCTTCCTGTCCCCAGGGGTGTGCAGCCACACTGGGCTGACACCCCGGGGCTGCTGAACATGCTTCCTGTGAGCTGACAGACACCAGGAGAACAAGATGGTTTAAAAACACCCCCCTGCAAGTAGCTCCTCGAATCAATGGCTCCAGAACTTGCCCTCATAGATCAATGGAATTGGATTTTCTTGCTGAACCTAACAGAGATATGGACACTCCGAGAATTTCTCTCAAGCAAAAGCCAGTCTGAAACCATTGTAGGATCAGCAGAGCCCCAGCCCAGCTGAGAGGATCCATCAGCAGCGTACAAAATGCTCCTCATTTTCTAATTTGATCCAGCAGATGTTTAATGCTCACACAGCAAAATCTCTACCCTTACTGGAAGCTGTGGATTGTCACCGTGATCAGAATATATTCTCATAAAATTATTACAAGAAATAATAACATATGGGTATATGAATACAAATCTATGCAAATATATGAGCCCATAACCATAGATATAAATAATAAAAACACAAATGTGCTCTCCAAATGTTTCACAAACAGAATAAAGCAGCTCATCTCTCTGTCTATGAATCCTGCTTGCCCTGTGTTTCTATCAAGTCCAGGATTATATTTTGTTTAGTAGGAATTTTCCATGTGGCCTATGGGAAACCCCCCCCGGGGCCCCTCCCGCGCGTGAATCAGGCAGCGCTGCAGCTGGCCCAGCCAACATCCAACATGGACTTGCTTCCTCTGAAGCCAGGGACAGGTTCAGTCTATTTGCTTTTGGCACTGCCTGTTGAGCTGCCTGCAGAAACCTGACTTTTGGAACCCGGCCTCTCGGCAGTTAGACCTTGGACTCAATAATAGTTTCCAACCCCATCATACCCTGCTGAGATTTACCAGCCAGATAACAGCATAAAGGAAGTGTAAAAATACAGCCAGTGACTTATCTTTCATTCATCAGAGCTTGGTGTCTTAACTGATCCTTTCTTCCCACACCAGTTTTAATCCTGCTGGAAGAAAATCTATTTCCTTTCCTATCTCAGGTACTTCACTCCCTGATGTGCACTAGAATTACAGTTCTGGATTAAGAGGGAAGGCAAGAGTTTAAAGGTATTTCTGTTTCTAGGGAAACAGAGACAATACTGAGGTATTGCAAAAGGACACACTATGTCCAGCTTCAAGGAGCTACGAAGTATTTACATTGCTCTCAGTTACTGAAGTGATTTGAGTTCGTCATGATGTTACGTGTTTTTCTCATACTGATCTAGTCAAATATTATATAAATGACAAGCACTGAGAAATTAAATCATAGTCCCAATACCACTGAAAAAGCTGCAGCTGAACAGGAATCCATCTCTTCCCAGTTCAGCTCAAATCATTGTTTCTTTTCTGCCAGGAAAGAACCAGTCCCCTGGATAAAAGGGAGTTGTCCTGGGTCTTACTCTTGGCATTTCTTTAAAACTGAACCCTTCCGAGGACCTCACTTCTCATACTTTTCACTGCAGAAACAGGACACCTCTTCACCAAATCACATTCCCTCTGCTTTGCAAAACTAGTAGTTTCCCTTACTGTGCTGCTCCCTGCCCCTGCACTCCCTCCTTCCAACTGCTCCCAGCCAGGTGCATGTGCTGGGACCTGCCTCGCAGCACATCAGCACTTGTCTTTGGAACTGCTGGCACATCCAGTGAAAAGATGGCAACGTGAGGCTTGTGAGGATTAAGAAAAAGATTAATAATGGGATATAAAAGCAAGAAAGCCAAGAATTGTAGCTTCAGCTGACATTCAACACCGTTATTTTAGTCCCAGCTGCAGAGGAGTTCTTGTTATCATTGGTTCTGCTCACTACGAGGTTGAAAGAAAAACAGAAAGTTTTGTGTTTGAATTAAAGTGATTCAAAGGTTTCATGGCCATGGTGTTCAGGAGGAAAGCAAATCGCACAAAGCTGGGGTTTTAAGAGGGCATGATCAGCAGGGTGGGACAGCCAAAGCTTTCATGAGCAAGAGAAGAGATGAAGACTGAGAATGTGCCCACAGAAGAGTCCGCAAGCCCATTTTCACTAATGGAAGCAGAGGTAGAAAGAATGAATTCTCAGAAGGGACAAACACTTGAGGATTTACAAGGTGAATTCAGAATGATAACCTGGCTTTGCTCATTCATCCACAGAGGTATCTGTGGAATCTCAGGCACTGATAAAGTAGGTTAGAATGTTCATAGAGTTCATTTCATTGTAAGTGCATTGGCAATCCCTGGAAGCAGATTTAGCAGGATGTGAGAAGAGTGAAGTAAATGCCAGTGTCACTCAAGGACAATTAAAAATGGTTTTCAGGACAATGAATAAAAATACCCTGAAACAATGTGAACACTCTGACAGAGCAGCAGGGACAAGTAACACAGAGCAGGCGAAGGAGAAGCAGAACCAGGCCTCAGGCAGGAGGTTGGCTATGGGCTGCTTCTACCAGCCTTCTAGATGACTTTACCTTAAAAAAATGTCTCTCTCTTTCATGTGTTTATCTCCCCCAGATAAGATGCAGATAAAGGAAATTCCCTCTGTTCGCGGTTCCTTGTATTTTCTCTAAGGAAAAGCTGACCCTGTAATAAATTAGGTTTATTGTAGTAGGAGAAAAAAAAGACCTACGCAGAATGATAAAAGCACATTCTTTCTTAAGCAAATACTTTCCCACACTAAAGGCTTTTCCAAGCTTTTAAGTTTATGTTATCACCTTCAGAGAGTCCCAACTAAATCAAGCACATGCAGCCATCAAGGTAAAAGACAGATGGAAAGTTAAAACCAAAAGCTTTCTGGAAACTTAGGATGTAGTTTTAGTGAAAACGCTGCTTGAGAGACTGATTTAATACTGGATGCTTATGATACATTTGGTGGTATAAATAAGATTCAATAGTTACTCCATTTGACAGTGTCTCCCAAGCTGCTCCTCTCCTGACACTTCCAGGTGTGCTTCCAAGCTTCCATGAAGAATTACAGTTCAGGTTGGGGGAACTTTTTCCCCGTGTGTTGAAGCAAACCCAACCTGCAGGCAGTACATTGTCAGTGTTCTCACAGTGCAGTCTATTGCTGCTTCACTCAGGTGGTGTCAGAGGGAATGCAGAGCACTTCCAGATCCCAGCTGTCATGAACTGGATTATAAAATATTATGCAGCATCATACAAGTGCATTTTATTTTACAAAACCCAAAATAGGCTACTTTGAGGTCCTGATATGGGAGTTGAGGCAGGAGTACCAAGAGGGAAGGATGTTCCTCTGTCCTTGTAGCAGGAGACGAAACAAACTACACTGGTAGTTGTTCTTTAAGCTTCTTGCATGGCTGTTCAGTGAAGAAAAGCGCATGGTATATTCTCACTGTGGATTTAATGTCTAACAATGAAATACCTGTCCTTCTGAAGCTCTCCTTCTGTCTGCAGGCAGACTGTAACATTCTGCTGCTATCATTCCACCCATGCACAGGACTTGGAATAGTTACCTGCTGGGCTGGTTTTTCCTACCCAGGGCTGAGGAGGACATTCAGATCTACAGGAGATCTGAATGGCAGACTGAAGGGCTCATGTACCCCTTAGGAAAGGCTGTACAGCCTCTGCAGAAAGAAAAGCACTGGTTTGTGCTGTGCCCAGGCTGCACAGCCCAGTGGAGCTTGGTTTACACACTGTATTTGTATGTATCAAGTACGACATTGTGTGCCTGAGTCAATGCACAATTCGTCTTCCTGCTACAGCCGCAGAATTAGATGGAGACCAAAGGGCCCGGTGAACAGGTGCCTTGGCCAGCTTCCAGTCTGTGTATTTGTTCTTTTACCCTCCCTGTATTTGCCCTGCAGTTGGACATTTCTCTCTGTACACAATGAGCACAGCACTAATGGGTGGTGTAGAAGGGCCCCTGCACAGAGTACCCATTTCACTTGGCTTATCTTTAATTCTCTCTGTTGGTATTAAATGGATTTCTCATTGAAACATCACTTCTTGCATCAGTGCCCCAAAGTTCCGTTTAGTGGGAACACTTGTTGGTAGCAGAATTTCTGCTGGTTCTGGTGGCTCCCTGAAAGCTGCACCTGCTGGTAAGGCTGCTTACTTCCTCCTTCTTCAAAGAGGTCCCCTGAGGAAAACCAGGCTCCTTCAGACCCGGCATGTTCTCTGTCAGCCCCCTTCTTCTACTGTCAGTCCAAAAGGACCAAAAAGCAAAAAAGAAACAGTGAAAATGTTACTTCTAAAAGGGTTTTTCTGAAGGGAAGTAGGGAAAACAGAGAGGTAGGAACCTGTTTTGTCCAGGTCCACACACGTTGTTCAGCATATGGGCTCCTTTCAAGTTCTGTTATCAGTCTAACAATTACAAACTCCCTCTGTATTAAAACTCTTTCCTGAGATCACATGAAGAAAGCCTTTGTGTGCCTTGGTTGTGGGTAGGCACTGGCTGCAGCGGGGCTGGGCACTCCGGCCCTCTGTCTCCATGTGGCTAAACTGTAACTAGAGTGAAGAATGCTCCCCATGGGGGGCGGCTGCTCTGAATCCCACCTGCTGCCTCAAGATGGGGAGGGAATCAGCACCTATATGTGAAGGTATTTGGGAAAGAAACAGCCCACGGCGCTGCTGCTGACCAATGAGAGGGATTGCTGTGCTGGCAGAAGGCTTAAGGCTGATAAATTCCATGGGTCTCAGATAACACATTCTGGAGACAACTCCCATTGTAGCAGGCATAAAAGAGCTGGGGTGGGGGAGCAGAGACACTCCTGCTGCAGGATCACCAACTGTGGGAGCTGAGGCTTTGGTCAGGTCCTTGCTGTTTCTTACCATGGCCAGTTACAGCTTCAGGCAATTTTCCTCGTCGCTAGCAGGGGGACCTGGCATCTCATCAGCCCGGTTCGGAGGCTCCTTCAGGGCTCCCAGCATCCACGGGGGCTCTGGTGGCCGGGGTGTGTCGGTCTCTTCCGCTAGGTTTGTCTCTTCTGGCCTAGGAAGCAGCTTGGGAGGGGGATATGGAAGTAGTTTCAGCAGCAGTTTTAGTGGTGGGTTTGGTGGAGGTCTGGGTGGTGTGGACGGCCTCCTCTCGGGTAATGAAAAGGCAACTATGCAGAGCCTGAACGAGCGCCTTGCATCCTACCTGGAGAAGGTGCGAGCACTGGAAGAGGCGAACTCGGATCTTGAAACTAAAATCCGAGACTGGTACCAAAAACAAGGCCCAGGCCCAGCTCGGGACTACAGTGCTTATTACAACACTATTGAAGACCTTCGAGACAAGGTAGGTGCTAGTATTTATTTCAAATTCTCTTAGATTTGCACTTAAGAGGGAAGCATAAAAACCCAACCAGAACACCCAGAAGGTCTGGAAAGGAAAGGAAGATGAAATGAGTATGCAGCGATTGGGCAGGGAAAGGAAATTACCAGCATGGAATTACCTACTCTTCAAGTATTAGCCAAGAGGATGTGCAAAGCAGTGAGTCTGAGATGCCTTAATACTTAATTCTCTGATAGAAGCATCTATGTATTTATATATACACACACATATACACACTTCCTGGTCATCTACACGTATATGACCAGTGAATATACATATGACCATATATATTCTGATAAAAATAAAGAGAGCCAAACAGTGACAGCAACCTGCCTACCTCTGTAAGCTGCTACATGCCACACAGCTTGAAGAACCTGGGGCACACACATACTGCTTTAACAGGAAGAATACAAATCAGTGAAGTAGTTTTGTAAATATGGACATAGTGGCTCAAGATTTCATCATCACAGATTTATTTCTCTTTCACACTTCATTTCCTTCAGCTTGGAACTGAAGTATTGTAGTACAGGTGCTGAAACATTTGGCTTATGGAAGAAGGAATTAGCAGACATGCAGTAATCAATCCCACATCTACATGCAGGGTTTGCCCCAACAGCTCATGGGGACCTGATAACAGATTACTTTGAGATGATGCACACCCTGGAAAACAGAGGTATCAGCTGATTAAACTATATAAATAAATGAAAGAAAACTGGAGGTTCAGTTTTCCCAGCTCAGCCTGGAGGTCATGACCATTCCCACACTTTCTCCTTGCTTCAACCATTCACATTCTTCACTGAATTCAAAACCCAAGCTCTGGGACAGGCAGAGCTGGCAACAAGATTTTCTCCTTTCAATATTATTTTCCCTCTTGTCTTTTACTTCCCTTACTTAGGGGAGAGAAAATGCTGCTCCTTATGGTTTTGTGGGTGACCTTTTGAGTTTTAAAAGTGTCAGGTAAAACCAGACATGATTGCTAGGTAAAAATTAACAGGAATTATCTCTAAATAAACAAAATTTCCTGTAGAGGCTTTCATGAGGCATTAGAAGAATCAATAAACACTGTCCTGGATATTGTAGGAAATAAAAACGTGTTCAGAGACTGGACAAATGGAGTAAGACCCCGTATGGTTTATGATACACAAAAATGTCATTTATTTTAAAACCATACAGACCTTGTAATCACTTCCCACTGCTAAGAAAACATGTCATGAGAACAGCTTCTGCCAGGAGGGGTCTGAAGGCCTGGCTGCTGCCTCGCAGCTCTGCAGGGAACTGGTTTCATGCTGCAGTCCTACCCCCAGGCTCACCAAAGTCCTCTCCCTCTAAGACAGCACATGGTTATATCTCACTGTGGGACTTGTAGCTAAAAGCCTCTACATATGCTAGACAAGCGGAAGAGGATGTACCCATACCCAGCACTTGTGGCTGAAGGGTAGTGATAAACCTGTGCTACGTATTTGCTGCAGATCATTGATACTTCCCTAGCAAGACCAAATGAAATACACTTTTATTTAGTGCAGCTGCAAGTGAACCAGGATCATAACTCTTTTATCTTCACTTCAGGGCAGAAGATAACACAGTTGTTTCTGCCTCAGCAATGAACTCCCTTTATTTGTAGATCCTTGATGCCACTATCGACAACGCAAGGATCGTCCTGCAGATTGACAATGCCAGGCTGGCTGCCGATGACTTCAAAACCAAGTGAGTGCTTTCTCACAGGAAAAAACCTCTTGAGCAGGTGAAAACCCTTGTTGAGCCAAAGGGCAGTGGCTGTGAAAAGAGAAAGGAATTCCTATAAAACCTCTGTATGAACACTAGTTTGATCCTGTCCTTGGAAGTTCAGCCCTTTATGTATTTGCTTAAAGCACCATCTGCACCATGAAAGAATTTGTATCGTTTAAAATACGTGGAGAAAAGTTTAATGCTGGGCAACATCACAAACCCCACAAAGCCAGAACCATTTGCAGCAAGTGATGTGTGTGATGGTGGGCTGGCTCAGTCAGCTCATCTGAGCAGCTTGGCTTTGCTTTGTCAAGGTTTGAGACGGAGCAGGCTCTGCGCCTGAGCGTGGACGCCGACATCAATGGCCTGCGCAGGGTCCTGGATGAGCTGACCCTGGCCAGAGCCGACCTGGAGTTGCAGATCGAGAACCTGAAGGAGGAGCTGGCCTACCTCAAGAAGAACCACGAGGAGGTAAGAAAAAGTTCGAAAGTGACATTAGAAAAACAGCTTGTTTAAATGGGGAGTCCCCCAGGATTGCCCTGGGCTCTCCAACAGTGAAGAAAAGATTCTGTGTAGACTGGGAAACTAAAGATCCCCTTATTAAAGGGGAGTCAGTCAGAAAGAATGGAAAGTTTGTATGCTTTCAGTTTATGATTGTACCCTCTTCTGTCTTCCTCTGCCATGTTCACACAGGAAATGAGTGCCCTGGGAGGGCAAATAGCTGGTGAAGTCAGTGTGGAACTGGACTCTGCTCCAGGCATTGACCTGTCCAAGATCCTGGCTGACATGCGAGACCAGTATGAAGTCATGGCTGAGAAGAACAGGAAGGATGCTGAGGCCTGGTTCCACAGCAAGGTAGAAAAAACTCCCCACTGTAAAAATACTAATGAAAACAACCCAGGGAACAGAACGGCTGTGAAAGCCTTAGGGCCTCTACTTGGAGGCCCTGTATTTCTCCTGTAATGTCTTCTCTGTTTCAGACTGAGGAGCTGAACCGGGAAGTCGCTATCAACACTGAGCAACTGCAGAGCAGCCAGTCTGAAGTCACTGACCTGAGACGCACCCTCCAAGGGCTGGAGATAGAACTTCAGTCCCAGCTCAGCATGGTATGTTACAATTCACACTGCATGGGCATATTCCCCCCCACCCCCAGAATGGGAGGTATTCCCCCTGCTCCATGCAGTCCTGCATCTGGCTGCAACCTTTATGTGGTGTCCCCCAACCCCTCTGCACACAGAAAGCAGCTCTAGAGAGCACCCTGGCAGACACAGAGGGGCGTTACAGCGCACAGCTCGTGCAGATCCAGGGCCTCATTGGCACCATCGAGGCGCAGCTGGCTGAGCTCCGAGCTGACATGGAGCGCCAGAACGGCGAGTACAAGATCCTCATGGATATCAAGACTCGACTTGAGCAAGAGATTGCTACTTATCGACAGCTCCTGGAAGGCCAGGAGTCCCAGTAAGTAACAGCTCACTGCAGGAAACCTTTCTGCTTAGGCCCATGCCATGGTGCTCCTTAGCCACAGCACCTCAGGAAATACAACTTGAAACACTCCTGGAGTTCTACAGTTTTTCTGTCCCATAGCGGAGCTAGAAATGTTACAATTCCCATTCACCGCGTTCCGCAAAGAGCTGCTACACAAAAAGGCAAACTGACAAGTAGCACTAGAGGTTAAATGCAACAGTTAAAGTGGGAACTCGTAATAGTCTGCTTGACATTCTTGAAACATAGTGCAGCCAGTAATGTTTTACAGAACAGAAAGATTAACACCAAGTTCCCATAAACTTCCCATTACGAGTTGAATAGCTCTTGCCTCAGCGCAATCCATCTGGAAGAAGATACTCAGAAGGGAAGGCAGACAAGCCACTGCAGCCAGCCGTGGAGTGGACCTCCCACATGGGAACCCTGTTACTGCTAGTTCCCATAAAGCCTCAAGGAGGAAAACATCTCACAGCCTGGAACAAAAAGGAGTTGAAAGATTTTGATTTCCTCTATTCCTTCTTTTCCATAATTTTATTTTCCCACTGCAGCTGTTAAAAAATATGTTTCCTACAACAATTCCCTCTCCTGAGCTGAGAGGGAGAGCACTGAGATGACCATCCCTTCACTGTCTATGTAAAAAATGTGCCTGATTGATAGAGAATTTGCTTTCATGCAGCCTCATCCCAGGCAGTACTTGATGTGTTTCCTTTCAACTGTTCTCTCTCTGTTCTACAGGATGTTTGGCTCCTCTTCTGGAACTGCCGGTAAGAACTCCTGCTCTTCCAGGAAACCTTTACATTGTACATTATGGTAGTTGTGTTCACTACAGACTGGGCTGCTGCATTGATTTGTGTCACAAAAAAAGATCTGATAAGTAACAAATGATGACTCTGGGTAGAATTTAGCACATTTCAGTCCTTAAAAGATGTTACACATCCAAAAAAAAAGTCAGACTATGCTACAGAAAAGACCAAGTAAAGCTCAAAAGGGTTAATCATTCCCCCACATGAAAGGGTACAAGAAATTTAAGCTTGGCCAGCTCAGGGGAACTGTATGAACATGCAAGTCAAACTTGCCTTGAGCTTTTAAAGGTCTGCTGTATTGTAAAGGTGATGTATGATTCAAATCGATGCTACGAAGAAGAAAGCTTTTGAAAGATGTGAATGAGAGATGAGACATAAACTAAGCTCAGTGCCCATTGCAGAGTGTGTGTTATTCTGAAGTAATCATGGTTCTTTCTCTATATATTATTGTAGACAAAAGAGACAAGCTGGCAGACAGAAAACAGCTCTGAAATCCTCCAGATGTCACCCTCAAAGTGAGAAAAAGCAGACACCACACGGGAATCAAAACGGAGAGGAATCACTCTGCACTGCTGGAAATTATTGTGTTAAAGCACAGAGAATTCTTGGCCACACTGAGTTTTGGTAGATAGATCATGTAGTGGTGGTTAGTTTGTGATTTGGGTTAGCTTTTCAATTAATTCTAGATCTTCCATGTACTGAATTGCTGTATCTACTCTAATAAAGATGATCTTCTTCTGCAGTCTTAGATTCTTTGGGGTTATTGTGGTATTATTCCTGAAGTTTGGCTTTCATCAGGCAGTAAATTAACCAGTCATCCTCCCCAAGAGGTTAATGCTCACAGTGGCTGAAGCTCCATCTCCAGTTTCTTCCAGCCCCTCTTGACAGTGGAAGCTCTGAATAGGGAGGAAATGGCATCCTCAAGCCCCTCAGAGTGGGGAATACAAGAGTGAGCTCAGCTCCTACTAACAGTGGCTGTGAATTCTGCAGAGCAGCACTGAGGTGTTAGCCACTCTGGTAAAAAGCAAGAGCTGAGAGATATTTTGTTAGGGGAAAATGTAAAGCTGTTAAAACAGCTTGAAGATAACTCCTGCAGAAACAAACAGTGAGAAACAGCTGTGAGACTTCTTCACCCACTTTCTGAGTTCACACAGAGGTAACAAACCTTTAGCATCGATTTTAACCACCTTCATTCTCACACCACTGAGAGGATATTATCTGAGCTGAATTTCCAAATGTGATCACTTACCATAGAATCACAGAATCCCAGACTAGTTTGGGTTGGATTGGGAACTTAAAGCTCACCCAGCTCCAAACCCCTGCCACGGGCAGGGACACCTTCCACTAGAGCAGGTTGCTCCAAGCCCCTGTGTCCAACCTGGCCTTGAACACTGACAGGGATGGGGCAGCCACAGCTTCTCCGGGCACCCTGTGCCAGCACCTCAGCACCCTCACAGGGAAGAGCTTCTGCCTAAGAGCTCATCTCAATCTCCCCTCTGGCCCATTAAAGCCATTCCCCTTGTCCTGTCCCTACAGGCCCCTGTCCAAAGCTCCTCTCCAGGTTTCTTGAGCCCTTTCAGGCACTGGAAGCTGCTTTAAGGTCTCTCCGGAGCCTCCTCTTCTCCAGGCTGAACCAGCTCAGCTCTCAGTCCCCAGAACTTTTAGTTCAGGAGCCCAGAAGTCACTAATTTCATTGCCACCACCCCTCTGCAAGCTCACACAGCCAGGGAAACTTTTCAGGGTTTGTGCTGCAAGAAAACAAGGGCTGTGGCCTCTTGCATTGCACCTCCTCTGTCACACAGGCACATGGCTCCTGAGCCAGGGGTGACACTGGAACAGCAATACACCCAGATTGAAAGGACCCCAACAGCCCAACTGCCCTAGAGTGGGACATCTTACAGCCTGTGTTTCAGGGAGACACCATCAACTCCTTCGGCTCTTCTCTACTTGGACTTGGGAGGGAATAATTATTGCACCCTTGTTCCTAACTAGATGACCCTAACAGACAAATGGAGTGTTGGCAGGGCCAGGAGCACCTGAAGCTGTGGATCTGCTCTATCCAGGTTGGGTAATTCTCTTTAGCAGGGAGGTGCTGAGGCTTGGGTTGATTCAGTGGTGACTCAGGTGACATGTCAATATCAGCTGTCAAGCACTGACATGGACAATCCTGGCTCAGCCTTTGGAAATCCAGCATGAGGGCATTAGGCAGTGGCTTTGCTGCAGCAGGGAAAAACTTGTGACAGGAGAGAAAAACAGTCACAAAAAGTAAGAATCAGCAAAGAAACATAGAGGACAAGATGGGAAGAACAGGAGGCCCAAGATACTCTGACAGAAACTAGAACAAGAGCAGGATCAGAAGGGAGCAGTGGCAGGAGTGTTGGCATGAACGAGGTGCAAGTTGCTCCTCAGAAACTCACTCACATACATGGTGACGCCTTCGGAAGAGCAAGAAGAAAACTCTTGTGCATTCATACTTCTGTGCAGGCTAGTCCAGAGTGCTGACAGCTTTCTAACCAATGCCTTATACAAGTTTATTTGCTACAAATAATTCCCTACAAATCTATTCCCTATAATGGTCAGACCTGGAATCCCTCCCACATGAAAGAACAAACAAGTCCAGGTCTGGTTTTTAAACTTAACAAATCCCACTCCTTGACAGTAAGTTGTGGTGCCAAAACCAGGCAGAGCAGGAGATGACAGTGCAGATTTCCTGTGTTGTCCAGCTGCAAATGGGAAAAGCTGACAAGAACAGCCAGAGTGCAAACTATAAGTTATAAAGTCACTTTTCAAATGTGTATTTTGACCAAAAAAGTTTCATTTTCAACGACTGCATTAAAAAAAGGTGTTTAAAAGGTTACCAGTTCAAAAGTGTTTCAGCGCTTAAAAGCGCCAAGAACTTAATGAATTCACAAACTATGAAAAAGAAACTAGGGACTTCAGAGACTTGGAAGAATCTTGAAAAGTCTCAAATTTTTGTTTTTGTAGCCTAACTTTAGTTTATATTTTCACTGATTTTGTCCCACAACTGCAGGGCAATGAAGGATTTCTGGTGAAATGTTTAATTTAAAATCACTCTGAGACTCCAATTTTAGAGTTTGGTTCAGGAAAAATAAAAAAGGTGGTTGCTGAAGGTATGTAACATCTGAGTGATGGTTTTATCAGCAAAGACTGGGATGATAAACAAGCTGCTTCTTGAATGGAACTCTCTGTCCTCCTGAAAGGAGAGGCTCAAGTGTGTCAACTCCCCTAATCCCATCACAGAAGCACTAAAGGAGTTTGGGCAGCACAGACATGTCTGGGGACGTCTTCCAGGAAAGCTCTGACAAACTGAGGGGCTCCTCAGTGCTGAGCACTGGGGAAAGCACAGGATCAGACCATGGGAGAAGAGTGAGGAGAGGGAGAACAGAATAAAGGCATAAACTGGAGTAGCTCTTGACCATGGGGGACACTGAAGGAGCTGAGTGCTGGTTTACAGAAAATGGGAAAAGCCCCAGAATCCCACCACTGCGGTTTGCTGAGTTATGCCATCGGACATAACCTGTATTGGCTGCTTGATTTAGTTTTCCCAACAGTAAATATTCTACAGGAAAGAAACAGCTTTCTATCTGCTCCTTGGGTTTTGTAAGTGTTCATCTGATAAAGATGTAGAATAGTGCCCAGGGCTCTTTGAAAAGCAGCTATGTGTGTTTCACCACAAGCTTCCAGGGAAGTTAAGAAAGGCTGAGTGAGAGAAGACTGGATGAAAAAAACCCCAAAGTTTCCTGTTCAAGTTTATGGGGTTTTCTAGAAGGGATTTTGCTGGATTATTTTATTCACTGGAATTTGATGTTGCTTATGGTGGGATCAGCCGGTGTCGAGCAGCACGGGGGTCCCCAGACCTCAGCATAGTCACATCACAGGGGTCTTAAAGAGCCTTTTTTCATCTTTACGAGTTTGTCTGAACATGTTTCCTCAGATACCAACTCTTGGAGACACACAGATTTGGCAAGCACCGCAGAACCATTCATCTGCCCCACAGCCAAAGTGAACTGCTGTGGCAGAGCTCCAGGATTAGCCTGAGATGTGTTTCACCACTGGAACACCCTGTCCCTCCCAGTGGGCTGAGGAAGGGGGGACATGCTCTGAACCACGCTGAGCACCTGCGTATCACAGCTAGATTTTCCATGTTACTTTCCCC